AAAAAAAAAAAAAGGGAAGGCATCTCGAACCTTCCCCTTCTTCTTATATTTTTTTACTTTTCTCTTTCCCGAACCACCCCCTTGCCGCCTGCAACCAGCCCTGCGCACCAGCACCCCTGCCCAACGCCCCTGCTCTGCATCCTCACCCGAGCCCGACTTGCTGCCCACACCCCTAACCTGCACCTGCCCTGCACCGCGCCCTACCCCCCTATCACCGAACTAGCCATCATCACACCCTCGCACACCTGCAACCTGCCCTGCACCGAGCCATCATCGCCCCCTCGCACGCCTGCAACCTACCCTGCACCGAGCCATCATCGCCCTCTGCTGCAGGCCTGCTCCCCTACACGCCTGTTGCTGCAGGCCTGCTCCCCTGCACGCCCGTGCCTTGCACTCTGCTACACCTGCACTTGATTCTGCACTCCTGCTTCTGCCAAAAAGCCGGATCCTCTGCCTCCTGCACACCCCCTGCCTTCTGCGCACCCCTATCCTGCACCAGCCCTGCGCCCTGCTTGCTGCGCGACCCTTGCCTTCTGCGGCCCCCTGCATGTTGTTGCCAATCCTGCGCGCCTACATGCCTAGATTTGCACTCATCACCCCTCCTCTGCCAGAGCCGATCTGCACTCACCACCTTGCCTCTTCCCCGAACCAATCACTTGCGCCCAATCGTGCAATCCCTGGCTGCAACGCAATCCTGCAACCCGATCTGGTACCTGCTCTGGTTGTCCGATTCTTCTTGGCAGCAAGATGAAGCTCGGTCCTTGATGGGTATAAATAGAGGGTTTTGGTTAGAAGGCGGGGGGTTTTTTTTGGCTTGTTTTTTAAGGTGGTGTGGTGTTGACGAAGGAGAACATTTTTTGGAGGTCAACGGTGATTGAAAAGAGGCTTATTTTTCTGTGTCTGTTTCTTGCCTGCTTTAGGTAATCTCCTGAACAGAGGGATTTTTGGGGAAGGATAGTGAAGGAGACGAACGGAGCCCGGTCCCGTGGGTGGGATCCCTCCCTTCCGATCTGGATCTATCTCCTCCTAAAAATTTCGCCGTGGGTGTTTCTGTTATTTTCTGTTGATTTTGTTTAGAACTGTGTTTAAGTTTGTATGTGTTTCCTTGGAAAATGAATGAAAAAAAAGTATGTGTTTCCTTGGAAAATGAATGAAAAAAAAAATCAAGAAAAATTGTTCAGTTCATTTTATCTGATGAACATTTTTTTTGTGTTGGTGAATGAGATTTTTTTTAATGATGAATGTGTTTTTCCTTTTGAAATGGAAACTGATGAATCCTAATTGCAAGTTTTGTTTTTTGTGTTTGATGTGTTTTTGTTTATTTTAAGCAGCGGGTTGTGTTTTTGGGTTGGGTCAACCCGACCCAATCCAATAAAAAAAACTAAAAGCGTTAAAAAGTAAAAAAAAAAAAAATCAAAAGTTATCTGTTTTATTTCAATTTCGCACAATTCTTTCATGTTCAAGCACTTTAGTCCAAACGTTTCAAACCTTTTCAAATCAGTCTTTTATTTTTTTATTTTAATCAAATCAATCCATTTAATTTTTATTTGTGTTTATTGTGCATGCATGTTCTTGATTGTCTATTTTAGTCCAAAAATAAAAAAAAATGTTTTGATTCGGTTTATTTCTTTTTTCAAG